CGTGCGCCCTGGAGCCTCCGAAAACTGTGTTCCAAAGTGGCGAGCGCGGCGGCGGTGGGCGCGCGATTGTGTTTTTTTTTCGGGACCCCCCGGGCGGCCGGCGTCGACTCGAGGCAAGCGTCGACTCGAGGCAAGTTGCCATCGAGGGATCTCGGCTCCGGCTTCCTGCTCGGGCCCGCGACCCCCTCCCCCCCGGAGCGGCGAGGGTTGGAACCGAGTTAGCACTCGCCCTGCTGGGAGGAAGCAGCCCCCCGGCCTGGACCTGGGCCACTGGAGCCTGGTTCTCCGCTGGCACTTTCGGAGGGGAGCGCCCAGCGATTGTCCTGGACACATGCTGTCCCCCGCCCCCTCCCAGCGGCCGGCCTGCAGCCGCCGGCGGCCGACACGGTCCCCCCTTTTTTGCATTTCTCTTTTTCCTTCCCCTTTCTTTATTAAAGGTCCGGGAGCGGCGGCGGCCAATCAGCGCGCGGCTTCCATTTTGTGAGTGCAACTCGGCGGCTCCCGGGCTGGGCGCGGACGCGCTCGCAGCCCCCTCTGCCGCCGCTCGCGGGCGGCCGAGGCGACGCAGCCGCCGGGCCGGGGCTGGCTGGGGGTGCGCCTCATGTTGGGGCTCTTTTCGGGGTTTGTAATTTGGCCGTGGGTAGGTAATTGGCTGGAGCGGGGCGGCGGGGCGCGGCAGCCAATCAGCGCGCGGCTTCTATAGGGCTTGAGTTATTAGACGCTGATCTCAAACATCGGTCAGCAGACAGCAAGGAGAGGCCAAGAGCTGAGGGGAGCCATTTTTCTGCAATGGAATTAAATGGCCAAGTGGGTTTTTCCTTTGTTGCAAGTGGGGAACGTGCTTCCTTTGACTCCACCATCCAGTTCAGGACGCCTGAGTTGTGTTGTTTAACATTTGTCAACAGGCTAAAGGACTCACAATTGGAAGAATGAAGAAGACTTTTTTTTTTTCTTTAAAGATCTGGATTTTTCCTTATGACTTGGAATCCATCTTTGTCTTGTATAACTAGGTCATAGCACACCATTAATGTCAGCAGTTAACAGTTTTGAATTCCAAAAAACCTTAAGTAAACGACATATTTAATTTTTTCCTCTTTTTTATTTTTTCTTGGGTAGGTGGGTGGGTGGGTGGGGGTCTTGGAGGCTGTCTTATTCTGTATTCTCTTGACTGAACAATAAATTTTTATATATATATAGTTTCCTCTATTAAACACTTAAACCTGGCCATCTTATTAACTCCTTCTCTCTTTTTAACAAGGTAATGTTTTTAAGTGTATAGTTTTAGGACTAGCGAAATGGCAGCAACAAACAATTGCGAGCAGTTGTTACTCTTTTTAAGTCTTTAAAATCCTTTTACATTGTAAGTACCCTTGCTCAGTGCAGTTTTCATGTTCATGTCGGTGAGATGTCCTGATTTTCCAGACCTTCATCTGCATGTATGTCTTTGTTTCTCTTGTCTGATATAAGCCAGTTTAAAGAAAAAATGCTTTTGGGCGATTTTTGCTTTTATAAAGCTAAGGTTTTTAGCTTTAAGCTTCTGGAAATGTTTACAGCAATACATGCTAGCCAGCTTTCTTCCCAGGAATGTACACTTTCTTTGAAAATCGATCTAGTTGAAGAAAAACAGCTCTGTTTTTCTCGTCTTGTTGGAGGGTGGGTGAGGGAGAGGAAGACCTTGTCTTTGTGTAGAGAGACTAAAGCCGTCACAGGAAACTAGATTAAAACTGGAAAACAAGTCCTAGCTGGTTCCAGCCAAACACCAGCGTTAACTCGGGGGTATTTGCTGCGGTGGTTGGGAGGGTGGTGCGTGGCTTTTGCCTTTTGTTTGATTTGACTGTGTGTTTTCACCACTGCCATATCCAGAGCCCTAAACAGCCCTCAGCGAAGCCGCCTTTTTGCCAACCCAACCCTGGAAAGTTTGCAGAAGTGGAAGGACAGAAAATGCCCCGAGAGTGTAACTTTCAAAAAGGTAACATCAACCAAAAAGACAACACCAAAACCCCAAATTTTCCCAACTAAACAATCAAAAAATAAGATTATTTTTATAATAACATCTCCAAAACCATCACCGCCCAGCTTGATCTACACTCCATGGCACCGGGCTGAGCGGGTAAGTAAAAAAAAAAAAAAAAAAAAAAAAGTGCCTTTTGCCCCCTTCGAGGAAATCCCTTTTTTTTTTTTTTCGAGCAGGCCACGGGCTGCGAATGTTTGGGAGCTGAGGGGAGCACGGCTTCGGACTTGTGTGTTTTGGCAGCCGGAGTGTGGGGCAGTGCGGGGGCTTGGACGGCTCAGCAGACCGCTCAGCTCCTGAGGCGGGAAGGGGTGTCCCCCGCGACCCTCGGGCGTCCATGGAGCCCCCCTGCCCTTCCCTGCCCTGAGCCTCGGTGGGTGCAAGGAATTGACGTGCTTTGGACATGGGGGGGTTCCAGGAGACGACCCGGGGAGGGCCCGCCCCCCTTCCGGGTCGGGGGGGCCCGGCGGCCCGGGGGCCCGGTCTCTTCGGGGTTCCCGGGCGGCCCCTTCCCCCTTCAAAGGAGAAGGAAGAAAAAAAGGCGGGGGCCCATTTTTGGCGCCATGAAGGAAGAACCTCCCGCCCGACCCGGGCCCCGGCGCGGGGGCCTTGCCGACCGGCTTTGTTCTTTTTTCCGAAACCAAGGGTTATTTTTCAGGTTTTCAGAG